GATTTACTTCCCTTCTTTATCTGTTTGTTTATTCAATCTACACACATTTACTGAGCATCTGTTACTTGCTGGACGCTCTTCTAGGTGCTGTGGAGTTGAAGGTGAAGGAGATCCAGCTCTGCTGTTCAGAAAGAAGCTCTGTGCCTCAGTTTCCCCTTCATTAAAATGCAGAGTATAAGAGTCCCAGCATCATAGGTTGTTCGAGGACTAAATGAGTCAATATGTATAAAGTGCTTATGCCAGTGCACTCAGAACATGGACCCTGCAGACAAGGAGCTCAAAATCTGGTGGAAATAACAATGGTGATGAAACACAGAAACAAATCAGTGGTTGGGTGGGGAAAAAGGAAGGTCAGTTGGGTCACGTGGGAGTGATGTATTCTTTGTCACCTGTGGGCACTGAGTGATAGGTGCAGTGACCTTCCCCCACCCTCACCTTGAATGAGTCTCCTGGAAGTGGGAAACTTAATCAGCATTTCAGTTTCCCCTCCTTACCCAGAACCAGAGAGGCCTTGAACCCAGTGTGAGGTATTGAGTGTAACCAACAGAGTCATGTGTGTCTCCGCTGCAGCTCGTGGGAGTCAGGGGTGAGTGGGGAAGGATGGGGCTGCCTCTAGGGTGAAGGAGGAGGGAAGGGCTAGGGGGTGGGGGTAGGACACATTGACAGGATGGTGAGGGTCCTTCTGGGAGGGGGCAGCTACGCCCTGTACAGTGGCTCACTCCTCACAGCAGTTCCATGACAGAGGCCCAACTGCTGTCCCACTGCCCAGAGCGGTGAAGTGACCTGCCCAGCATTGGGCAGCTGTGGCCAGGAGAGCTGGGACTTCCAGTGGGGTGCTTAGTTAGGAAGGCTGTGTTTTAGCTGCTATGGGGAGAGACTGGCTTACCTGATCCCCAGGGTATTTCCATGAGTCCCTTTCAGGGCGGCTTCCTGCTGTAGGCTGGTGTCACTGCCCTGCCAAAGCTTTCCTCTGACTGTAGCTGTTGGGCTGCTGGGAGCTCCCCAGGTTCCATATGATGTCTGAGCTTTTGGTTCTTCTGAGTGAAACATGATTCCCTCCTCTCCCCCACCCTTTTTTAGGATTTCATCCTTCTGGCTGAGGTGCAGATGCCTGATTTGTTTACAGATGTTCATGTGTGGGCCCCCACTGACCACCCTCTCTAAGCTAGATTGCCTTTTGGTCTTGAGCTTTCTAGTCAGCTCTGGCTCTCTCTGCGGGGCCTGGCAGCAGCTTATGTAACAGTTTGATGCAATTCAGAGCTGATCCAAAACAGGCTTCTTGCTCAGGGGATGAGGCTCCAGTCAGACTTGCTTGAAATATCAGCTTTGTTTGAAATGTGCTGCCAGAGAGCTGGTGCAGCTCGGTTTGTAGAGTTGCATCAAGGGGGCAGTTACTAGGTTTGAATCCAGGTGGAGGTAGCCTGGCCGGGCTGGACACCCAGTCTGTGGACCCAGGTGGGTCACCCTGTGCCAACTCATTAAAGGGAAGGGAACAGTGAGGCTTGGAGATGCTCCAGGCTCCCCCGGCGGGCTCACATCCTGGCCCTGCTGTCTGCTTTGCTCATGAGTTCCCCTTTCTGGACCCCCATTTCCTTATTTCTAAAAAGAGGCAATAACACCCACTGGTGAGAGGCCTGATCAGTAAGTGGAGGGGTGGGTGCTTATGTTTCCCTTCTGTTCCCCCTTGGCAACCTTCTCTGGATCCTAAATATTAACTTTAAAAATCACTGTTGAAGTTTTTGTTTTGTGTATTAATACCTTTATATGGGAAAAACTCAAGAGATACTGTTGAGACACAGTAAAGAGTTTCCCTTTCACTCTCATCTCAGCCACTAGCTTCTCCCCAACAGGACTCTACCCTTTGGCGTCCACCCTCTAGAATAGCACAGCTTCCAGACTGAATAGGGGGCTGGACAAGCAGAGCACCTGCACTTGGACCCGGCCATGCCCACACCCTCTGACAGGTCGTCAGGTTGCATTTCAGCCATGCTGAGTTACTCCTGGTCTCTGTACACACCAGTTTCACCATGCTGTCCCTGGTAGCCCTGCTGCCTGGAATGCCCTTCCCTCTTCCCCACTTGCCTGGGTAGCACTTAATCACCCTAGATGTCACCTCTTCCAGACAGAGACGCAGATGAAAATGGTAGTGTTGTTACCCATAACACTGACCGGAAAACAGCTTTAAACCTGTGGGCAAGCAGGCTGACAACAATGTCATCTCTGAGTTCGGTAGTCAGGGGGACACCACAGGGTCTCAGGGGACCCCCACCATGAGCATAGTCATGGGTAGGTAGGTGGGCCGTGAGGCTCCTTCACCTTCTATATCCACTTATGCCCATGGGTTTCAAACAGGCGGTCCACAGAGGGGTTGCACAGTGTTGAAAACATTTTTTGAATCAGTTGCTAACATTTAATCATTGGGAGATTTTCATGTTAAAAATAATACAAGAAACCAAACCATTTGACCTCAGTGAAAAAATCAGAACACCTAGTACCCACTAGGCTTCCATCAATTATGTGGCCACCAATAGTGGCAATAGTGGCTGCCCACTTGAGAAGGCCATTACCAGGTCCTCCTGGTCCCACCTGGACTCACAGATGCTCCCTGCACGGCCCCTGGGCAGTTGAAAGTACAGTTCCTAAAATAAGTAGTTTGCTCTGTGGTGGGGGACCTTACCTAATTTTGGGAGGTCAGCTACTCACCTGTCAAGCCTTTGGGCAAGCATTTTTCCTCTAAGGAAGCATTTCTTGTCACCTCCTGCCCTGACTTTTGGTGGCATCTACTCTCTCTGCTGATCTCCATCACACCGCCCCCTGCTCCTGCCGCTTGCCTGTCATGCCCCATGGTGTCTGCCCTCTTTGCGGGCAGGGGGCTGGGATCAGGGGTGGTGACTCCTCTCTGTCCTCATCTGTGAGCGGGTCCTCTCAGCATCTGGCCTAGGGCCCGGCACCTTGGAGTGATGAGTCATTGTTGCTAGAGTGAACGCAGAGGCATCAAGGTGAGGAGCTGGTGTTGACGTGCAGATTGCCCACTGTGGGCCGGGCTCTGCTTGGCTCTGCACCTCATCCTTGCCCATCTTCCCGTGACTCTGCAGGAAGCTGTTCTTTTGACCATCTTAAGAATGAAGAAATGGTGGCCCAGATTGATTAAAGAGTTTTTTTACAGTGGTAGAATTAGGTACTGATGAGGCTGTGAAATGAATTCTGTCTCAGACAGTTTTTAAGGCCAAGGATTGATTGACAGCCCTGGAATGAGATAATAGCAATGTATTAGGAATTGCTAGAAAAATACAGGAAAAAAGGGAAAGGTCAGTGTTGAACCACAGAGATTTTCTTGTTGACGTATCGATCTCTGTTTGCCATTCCAAAGAGGATAATTACGCCACTCCAGCTGAGATGGGGGACGGGTTTGGCATTGGAAGGCCAGGGTCTTCTAGGACAATCCTGGGGGCACGAGACGTGCTCTTGGTGACAGGGAAAGTTGACTCTCACCTGACACTCAGAGAAGCACTGATGGGAATGAGGAAGGGGTCAGGGTGAGGCTGGGGGAGAATGTCACCTGGCTCTTGGGGCTGGGACCCAGATGTCCCTTTGGAGGGCCAGTCCTGCTGCCCTCTAAAGGGAAGTGCCAGGCCCGGTCACGGGAGACTTGGTCAGTGACTTCCATGAGAAAGAACGACTGGGCTGGACTTGACCACGCAGGCCAAGGCGGTCAGGTGCCCTGGAAGCGTCCAGACCCTAATTGTGGCTTTGCCCCTTAGCCCTTTGGGTCTTGGAAGTATTGTGTTGTCCCTTCTTTTAGGAAAGGGGTAAGAGGTATCCAGGCTTGTCTGCTGAGTCACAGTGCTCACATGAGCACTGAGTTTATAGCCTGTAATTCACTGAATTCCCCTGGCAAGCCTGTGAGTTGGGCGATCATATCGCTGTGCCCAGCACAGCTGGGGGCCAGGAAGGTTCACATCGTCCGAGGTACACAGCTGGTGATCCCTGGTGTGAGGATTTGCCCACGCTCAACCCAAAGCCTTGGCTCCATCCACTGTGCCAGGCTGCCTCTCCCCTACAGCGGCCCCACCGCTGCACGGGTCCTCGTGGCCTAGGTGCAGCCACCTGGGCACGCGCTCATTGCTGCTACCACCTGGAGCCCAGGGAGGGCATGGAGCCCAGGGAGGGCATGGGGAGCCCGGGGACAGAATGACCAGTGGGAGGCTGCCAGTTCTCCAGCAGAAAAGCCCAGTACCACCGACTCTAGATAGTTCCTGTGAGTAAAGCATGAACATTCTTGCAGGGCCAAAAGTTAACCTGTTTAGCTCCTCTTCAAAACGGGACCAACCTCACCTGCCCTCTTTCCCCACAGGGCAAAGTGAATGTGGACTTTGCCCATGCTTTGAAAACAATGCGGGGGCTGCCCTTCAGCAAGCAAGCTGGGGTGGGCACTGGTGCTGAGTGGGGTGGGAAGTTTCTCAGACTGCAACAGGGCTTGTGTCCTTGCTTAGGGACTTTCCCCCCCAGTTTCCTGAGGCAGGACAGAGGTGGAAGCTTCATTTTACTTCTGCTCAGCCATTCCCAGCCCTCACCGGTGGGCCTCAGGCTCGAGTCCTCCCATTTAATATCTCCTGCAGCGCAGCATGGTGCCTGTGTATTAGCTTGATTAAAGACTAATTTTCTAGCTCTCAAGGTGGAGCCCGGCTCAGATTGTCTTCTGTCCCTGTGTGTGGGTTTTATACAGATGCGTCAGACCACAGACTACGTAGAAGCAAGCTTTCAATGTGGTTCCCCCACCGGCCTGCTGAGCCCAGGTGTGAGGACAGGAGAGTGCCTCAAGGGAGCAGGTGTGAGGGGCTGGGCTGCTTAATGCCCCTGGTCTCCAGAGGGCTGAGCAGCGGGACTCCCCAACCAGTGTGTGGCCCCAGGCTGATGGCCACTACTGGAAATGAGGCCCTGGTACCTGAAGCCACCCTCTCTACTGTGGGTCACTTCCATTAGCCAGCCCTGTGAAGGGTCTGCAGCTCTGGCGCCCTGAGGACAGGCTGGTGGCTTGTATTTTCTGTAGGGGCCCCAAGGTTTTAATAAAGTGGAATATGCACATGCCTCCTAGAGAGGAACTGCACCCTTGTTCTCATCCACGGGACAGCGGCATGGGGCAGGTGGGACGTGTGTACAGCCATGTGCTCCCTCCCTAGCTCACCTCCCTCCTCCAGACCCTGCAGGAGCCCTTTTCTGCACTTGGAGCAAAATCCAAACTCCTGCCTGGCCTACAGATCCTGACTGATGAGCCCCCTTTTTCTTTCTTCCCTGCTCCAGTGCCTGTCACTTCCCAGCCACAGTGGCCTTCGGGCAGGTCCTCAGACTTGCCACGTTCTTTCTTGCCCTCAGGACCTGAATCAGGCTCTTCCTTCTGCTTGGAATCCCCTCCCTGCCTCCCTGAATCACCTTTCCGTTTTTACCTTAACTTTCCTGTCTGGCCACTCCTTCCTCATAGAATTCTGCCCACCCTTTCTTTCCCTTCCCAGCATGCCTCCCAGTTTGAGACGATTTTACTGCCCTTGTTTAGTATCTGTCTCCCTGACTGGCCTGAGGCTCTGTGAGAGGGACCCCTAGGTCCCCAATGGCTCGGGCCACGTGTGGCTCTGAGCAGGTGCTCGGGAATAGTTGGTGATCCAATGTCCCTGGGAGGCACTGGCACTGCCCAGAGCAGGCGCAGCAGGAGGACTTGGAGCCGCCCAGGCCACAAGGAGCCACCCTTCTTGGAGCAGGTGGGTGTGAGCTTATTAGTGGAGGGGCTGGACCCAGACACCAGCATGCTCATGACCGTGAGCATGCACACAGGTCTCTCCCACACTCCCTTCCTTGATTTTAGGAACAGCCTGGGGCAGAAAGGACTGTGGACCACCATGAGGAAAGAGCCTGGATTTAGGCTGCCTGTGGGCACCCCCTGTGGGAACTCGGGCCCGCCCAGGGCCTGTCCGTTGGTCAGCACCACCTCCCCCTCAAGGTGCAGCGCAGCTGCGAATAGTCAGCGCTTACCTCGCATCTGCTGGGCACTCACAACACCTGGTCCTCCCGGCATGAGCGCCCAGTCAGCCTCCATCTAATGCTTTCCTTTTTCCTTCGAGTTTCTTGGGCAGTTTGGAGTCTTCGTTCCAGGAAGTAATCGATGAGGCCCAGCATTTGTAATTCTCAACACAAAAACACCCAGACTGCAGGTTCGTGTGCAAAGGGAGGCTTCCTGCCTGGCTGGGGGGTCTTTTGAGCCAGAGGAATCAGGTGACGCAGGGCCTCAGTCCTCACGCTCTCTCCCTGCTGGCCTCCAGGGTCAAGGCCACAGGCCCCAACCATCTGAGAGCAGGATGGCCTTCCTCTGCGGCTTTTTATGTTTGGGGAACAGGGGTTCAGCATGAAAGAAGGGAGGGGTTCTCTTGGGCTGTGTGTTAGGTGCACAATCCCTCTGAGTCGGGCGGTGGCCATTTCTGCCAGGAAGGAGGTTTTCCTCCCTCACCTCTGCTCCTCAGGGAGGCGAAGGGGCTTAGCTGAAAGGAACTTAGTGGCCACAAGGGGAACTGCTGTCTCCTTAAGCTTCCTTTGGAAGGCGGGACCGGGGGTGATTCTGCCCCAGGGTGGGGCAGGAACAGGAGGAGGGAGGGGTGGGCCTTCCAGCCCTGCTGAGGTTGGTGCTTCCCCTTCATCTCAGTCCCAGAACAGCTGTAGGAGGTGAATATGGCTCTCCCCATTCTACAGGTGAGGAAAATGTCCAGAGGGGTCAAGTCGCTTGCCTGAGGTAACTCACAGAGCCGCGTGTTTCACAGTGAAGCCCCTCCGACCCCAGCTGGAGTTCTTCTGGCTGTGCTGTGCACAACAGAGAAATCAGTGACTACTGCAGACCTACTGCGTGTGAGAGTCAGAAATGACAGGCTCACCCCTGCTCCCATCCTGGCGGTCACCTCCCGACTGGAGTCTTCATCTCACTTGGTCCCCAGGCCAACCTGGGGTGCAGGTAGTGTGATCCCCAGTGTAACAGACAGTGGCTCAAAGGGGTCCGGGGACCCACTTCTGAGTGGGATTTGGGCCCAGTGTGGGGTGATCCCTGGGAGGGCTTCAGAGGCAAAGAGGGCCCAGGTTATTGTTCAGTTCCAGAGGGTGTTGGGTGGAGGGGCTCAGGGATGCTTTCAGCTGCACGTAACTGAAGCCCAGCAGCTTAACCAGGCGTTATGTCTGGAGGCGGTTATGGCATGGTTCAGCAGCTTTGCCCCCATTCCTGCTAACTTCCATCCTAACGTCTGTCACCTGATGTTTGCAGGATGGTTGCTGCTGTTCCGGGTGCCAGACCCATCTTCACGCAGGAAGCAAGGGAGAAGGGGCAGCAGTGGCCGTTGCTTCCCTTTATCAGGAAAAGAGCCTCCCCAGAGGCCCACCTAGCAGACTTCCCTTACGACCCAGTGGTCCAGACGGAGTCACCCAGTCCCCTCCAGCTGCGAGGAAGACTTTCAGGCCCTGGGCTGGGCTGGACACCGGAGGGAAATCCAGAGGTGGTAGGCTCACTCCTGCTCCCACAGGACTCACCGCTTAGGGGAGGTTGTAAAAGCTGAAGGTCCTCAGGCCTCCCGCCCCAGGAGGAGACCAGGCTTTGTCTTGTAGAATCCAGAAGGCCCGTGGGAGAGGATGTCTAAGCTGGGCTCTAAAGTGAAAGAGTGTTAAATCTGTGACTATTAAAGGCCGCTAATTGTTCAGTTTGTGATTACATTCTTCCTCTAAGATGGCTGGTCCTGAATATCCCCCTGTTGTTAGCTTAGGACTCTCTGTTACCTGCACAGGTGTGGATAAAATGAGAGTTCCTGTGGCCAGGATTCTCACCTGGCTGTGGTTGACTAGCTCACTGCACACCTGTGGGCAGTACATGGCTGTTGACTCTATAAAAAGAGCTCCGCCCAGTGCTCTGTGCACGACGCGGTACCGGGGCTGCAAGGCTGCAGGAGAGCAGAGCAGAGGCTGGAGTGGTGGCAGCGCTGAAGATAGAGTCCCAGAGGACGGCTGTGCGGGACGACTGTGTGGACAGAGGGGCCCAGAGGCAGAGACTGGCTTGCTGCACACAGACTCACTCTGAGTGAACGGGAGTTTAGTGACTGACCAGCCACCTGGAAATAAAGTTGGGTATAACCTTTTCAGTCCAAGAATGTTTTGCTGTCATATTTTTTGGTCACACTGAATCCATAGCATACTTGCCTGGGGCTGAAACCCATTGGCAAGACAACAGGGCAGCTTGATACTTAACTCCTGCCTCCTCTCTGCTAGCCCTGGGGGAGGCCCGTGTGTGCTGCCTGGTGTTGGAGGTCACCTCCTGAGTCATCAGGGCCCTGGGAGGAGTCCTCATGGCCGTTGGCAGCAGTGATGGGAAACACAGTGCTCGTTAGGGTCAGCTCAGTGGGCTCGGTGTCAGGAGAGCCAAATGACTTCCATTGTTTCTTGGCTGCCCGGGTCTGGGAGTCTGTCGATTTGTCAGTCCTCCCCTCTAGGCCTCGCTTGCTTGTGTTACATGACTTGGGGGCATCATTCCGCTTCCCTTCCAGCTGTCTGACTGACTGAGGAGATGGCTTGAGGCGTGATTGCTTAGCAGACATTGGCATCACATATTCCATTTATACAGAAACTCACGGCCTCTCTCTGTTGAATTGCATCTGTGATTTCAGAGGTGGGTGGCCGGTGCCAGCATACCCATTTCAGAGGTGGGGAAGCTCAGGAGGACTCATTGTAAGTGGTGCCCATGGCTGCACAGGAGGTAAACAGCCTGGCTGGGACTGGGACCAGGAGTCTTTCTTGGCGTTGTGGAGCTGGTGTTCTGTGTGACAGGCATCAGGACTGAGCCGTGGAGCAGGGCCGCCTAGAGCTGGTGTGAGAGCTGCCTCTGCCCGCTCAGTGCTTCTAATTAATTGCAGGTTTTGTGTGTGGTTCTGTCTGGGAATCGCTCATACATACGAGATCAGAGCCCGAGGGTGGGAGGAAGCTGCGCATCCAATGTCCGAATTACTTACGGGCATTTCACTTGCAGTTAATCTTCCTTGCCATCACTTAATCCCAGCACTGTGCTGGGCACGAGGCCATTGTAGCAGATGCTGGTGCTGTGGCCATCAGAGCCTTGGCAGCCCAGGGCTTTGGCCAGGTCAGGGTCATGTGTCTGCTGGGTGCATTGGTTAATGCCAAATAGTAGCAGCCAGCCGACAGGAGCAGGCGATGGGCATGCCTAGTGTTCCCCTGCTTGTGGAGCCGGGAACAGGAACAGTTCATCTGCTATTCCTGATGAATTGCAGCATCCCAGAGCTAGGATTCTAGAGGATCAGCTGTCTAACCTCCTCATCTCATAGACCCAAACTGGATGTGAAATGCCTAAAGCCCCTTGCCAGTTAGTGGCTGAACCAGCTGTGGACCCGCATCCTCGTCTGTGAGTTGTCCTCACATCACACAACTTTGCTTTTATCGTTTCCTCATTCTGCATCTCCCAGCCTGCTGGTGACATTGTCTCCAGGGCCAACTCAATGCAGGTTCCAAGTTGCAGCATATGAAGTGACTCATTTGTTCTCAGGTGACAGAAGCCAGCCGGAGCCAGCTTCAGTAAAGTAGGGAATGTCCTGCTCTCACAGCCCCAGCGTCCAGGGCCCCGTTGCATTTAGGCGGCCCTGGGTCCTCAGGATCAGCTGTCTCTAGGTCTCCCTCCTCCGGGCTCTGCTAGGGGAGGAGGAACAGGGTGAAGCTGGGTGAAGCCCGTGACTTCTGGCCAAGCTGGGCAGCACCTGCTGAGACTTTGTCTCTCCAGTGAGAATCTAGAGAATGTTGATTTTGGGGGTAAAATACTAAGCCAGCACGCAGCCCTGAGGGCCCACTGTGAGGCTGGGGAGCCAGATCACCTGGTAGTTAGGGTTGTGGTTCCTGGTGTCAAATGGCCTGCGTTCTGATCTGTGTCTCAGTGTTTCTTTATTTACAAATTGGATTTGAGTGTAGCACCTGCTTCGTATGATTGTTTGGAGACAATTTATGCACAGTTTCACCCACTACCAGCTGTTATTAGCTATGTCATTTAACTTCTTGTTTTCTCCCACCTGTAAAATCGGGGATGACATCACCAGTTCCGTGAAATAACTCATTGGTTCCTTTAATACAACCAAGCCCACACTTAGCCCTCAAGGTTGGCAGTGGATGGAAAATAGCCACGTACGGGGAAAAGCTAGAACCCAAGGCCTTCTCATCGGCCTTCCCCTTTAGGCCTGCTCGCTGTCACACTGAACCCCATGCCTCCTCTGGGGGCACTGGGTCCCCTTTAATGCTCTCAGCCCTGCTGTGGACTCTGCTTCACAGGAATACATCTGAGACCAGGCTGGAGCGGTTAACAGGGCTTGTCTGCATGTTGGGGTATGGGATCAGTCACCTTTCCCGGGAGGAGGAAACACCTGAAAACTTCCCCAGAGAAACCGCGGTGATCCTTGGGACAGAGGCCTCTGCCGTCTCGCTCTGCAGCCTCACTGGGGGAACACGGGCTCCAGGCACAGCAGGACCCTAGTTGCCTTGCTGTGTGACCCAGAGCAGATTATTTAACTTCTGTGAGTCTTAGAATGCTCATCTGATAAACAGGAATGGCGACAGCATGTACCTTGGGGGCTGTTGGGAGGGCCGACTGCAGTGAAGTCTGTGAGGTGCCCTGGGCAGTGCCCGCCTGCAGTAGGAGCCTCTGATGTTCGCTGTGCCCAGGGCTGCTGTGCTGCATCTTCAGCCTGGGGTCTCCCGCAGCCCTGCCGGGGCCTTTCCACATCAGCTGATGTGCTTCCCACAAAAACATGGATACTCGGGTCCCCCTAGAGATTCTGGGTTAGCTAGGCTGTGGTGTGGTCTGAGCTTTGGTTTCTTGGTTGGTAGTTTTTTTTTTAATAGCTGCCTATGTGGTGCTAATGTGTAGCACTGCCTAGGTGAGGCGTTACCCTACTGTCTGCTGTCATCTGCCCTGTCCCCGCATGGCTGAGGCCACCTTCCCCCACTGTGTGGCTCCCTAAGCTCCCTCACCACTTTGGCTCTAGCAGGGCGGAGCCACTTCTGGTTTATTTCTACCTATCTGTGAAACTGTGGGGTCAGATAATTCTGGCACTGGGGTCTTTGACCTTGTGGGGGAGGAGCAGTGCCACCAGTGTTGTTTCCTCTTGCTGGGAATCCTGTCCTGCAGAGGGATGGGGTTCTCCTTCACAGCCCCAAGGAGGAAGGTGGTTCTTCAGTTTACACAGGGTCACGGATCTGTGTGGCTTCAGGAGCCAGGCCAGTAGATCCACAGACAGGGGTGGGGGCAGCAGAATAGGACATGCTGTGTCCAAAGAGGCTCAGGGGAGTTTTTGCTGGTCTCTGCTGCACAGCACAGGCTGTGTGTGTGCGTGGGAGGTGGGGGTGGGGTTCTGAGTCACCAAATGGACTCGTGCTGTAACAGCAGCAGGGTGGTGGCCCAGGTTACTCACTAATGCCTGGGTGAATACTGCTGTGGAATGTACTATCTCTTTATGAGTGTTTGCTAAGTTAGCTGTTTTGCAATGAAGAGCAGGTAGGCCCTGCTTTCTGTGGCTTCACATTTATCTGACACTATCTGGTTAACACTTGTATTCCACTTGTCCCTTAACCCAGACACTTCACTGGTACATGTTTCTCATTGGGCCTTTCTTTGTAAAACAGTTCAGCATATAACTAGCTCTTCCCTGCACACTGCTAGAGAAGAGGCCAGCTTCGCATATGATGGCTAAGCAAGCCAGTCTGTGCCCTGTGACAGCATCTGGGGTGAGCAGCTGTCTTCTACCCTTCCTCTCAACCCCCTGCCTCATTCCCCAAAATTTGTTTTTCAACTATGTAATTTGTTAAAATATTTGAGGTGAATATGGCAAAAGGAAGAATTGACTGTGCTTGGTGGGGGTGAAGACATAGATTCTACCAAACACATTTCACTCTTTCATGAGATGCAGGGATTTTAAACAACTGTGTCTCTTCACTGTGGAAAACATCTTGGCAGTTCTGTGAAGAGTGAAATAGTATCACATGACCCCACAATTCCACTCCTAGGTGTTTACCCAGAAGAACTGAGAATAGGGACTCCAACAAGCACATGAATGCAAATGTTCATGGCAGCAGTATTCACAGAAGGCGGAGACAGCCCCAGTGTCCACCAGTGAGTGGATGGATGGATGAACACATGTGGTCTAGCCACACGTGGAATAGCATCAGCCACGGAAAGGAAATAAAAGAGCTGAGACAAGCTATGCTTTGGAAGAACCTTGAAAACACTATGCTAGGTGCAAGAAGCCAGACCCAAAAGGTCACATACTGTAGGATTCAGTTTATGTGGCATATCTGGAATAGGAAATGCCATGGAGACAGAACCAGATTAGTGGCTGCTGGGGAGGGGAGCTGGGGGAGACCCTGCCTCACAGGTGTGCGGTTTGCACCGGGCTGGCGGAGAGCCCGGAACAGGGCAGAGGTGCTGGCCGCACAGCACTGAATGTACTAAATGCCACTGAACTGGCTTTAAAGTGGGTAATTTTATGTTATGTGAATTCCTCAAGATGTTGATTAAAAAGAAAACAACTATGCCACTCCCTCCAACCCCTTCCCTCTTCTTACTGGCCAGATAAGTCACTTGGTTCTATTTCTTCTCCTTGAAGCAACCTTTAAAACTGTTTCTGTGTTTGGTCCTCGTGGCTACATCCTTAAATCTAAATGATGTGCTGGGACCTCCTTGTCTTTCTAGAGATAAATGGAGAGACTGCTTCTTGACTCCTTGAGAAGAAAAAAA